AATTAACAAAAAAAAAAAAAACAGATATTTTATCAACTATCGTTTATTTTTGTAATTTTCAAGATTAATTCAGGCAAATTTGGATGTCCTCCTTTTAAACATTTATTATATAAATCAAAGCCTAAGTTTTGGTTTGCTGCACATCATCATGTTAAATTCGCTGCTTTAGTTCATCATGATTCATCATCAATCAATAATTACAATAGTAACGATGGTAATTTATTAGAATTTAAGGGTTTTAATATTGAAGAAAAAGTTGTGAATCCTGACGAAATAGATATGAATCTTGATGACGATGATGACGATGATGACAACGATGATGACGGTGAGAAAGAGAAGTTGGATGAGGAATTAGGCGAAGAAATTAATGAAAAGTTGGATGAAGGAATGAAAGAGAAGGTGGGCGAAGGGAAATATGATGACAAAAAAATTATAAGTGAGGTTCCTGGTGATGTCAATGAAAATAAATTAATCATAGGAAATACTAATACTGAATTTTTGGAAGCTGGTAATGAAATGTCACTTGATAACAATGATAATAGTAATAATAAATCATTAACAATGCCAACAGTAACAACAACTTCAACGGTTGATTTAACATTATCTTCATCATCCACTTCAAATATTGCAACAACAAGATTTTTATCGTTGGACAAATGTGTTCCTGGGAGAAAATTTTTACAGGTTTGCCAATCACCATATATATATATATATCTTTTTTTTTCAAAATATCCAGAATATCAAAACATAATAACAGATTATCATTATTATTATTATGCAAAGATTTTAGAATTTCCAAATAATGATAATGAAGTTATGGAATTAAAGTATGATGAAGAGTGGTTGGCAATTATAAAAGCTACAAATCCATACTTTAGTACGTCACATGTTCAAGCAATTTTGCCAACAGAAAACGAGATAAGCAGGTAATCAATATATATTTTTGAGATTCAATTAATATAGTTCCAAATTTTATATTTCAGAAAAAATTCATGTTATTTTTAATATTATAGTAAAATAGAAACTGAATTAAAGTGGATAAAAGAAAATATTTCAAATAAAGAATCTGGACTTTTGATTCCAAAAAACTTTCGACCAACAGCTCCAGCGTATGATGATACTTTGTCTCCCACTCAACAAAAATCTTTCAACACAAGTAAGTAATTAAATAAACGTGATTTATTACAAAAATTTGATGACATATTTATTTGCCAATTCTATTTTTATTTATTAATTGATAGGAACACCTTTTCTAAATCCACAAACTGTTGATTTCACAAACCTTTTAAATATTAATAACAAAATTAATATAAACGGGCAAAATTACATTGCTACCAATAACATTACCATCAATAATGCTAATACCAATACTACTCCTCTTACTAATATCGAATGATGTTGTTTTTAAATTGATTAAGAAAAAAAAATTTTTTTTTTTGATTAAATGATTACATTAATCAATTTGTAAATATTATGGTTTTATTGATGCATTAGAAATATAATTTATATAATATTCTCAAAAATAATAAATTATAGTCATTGTTAAAATCATATGCATGGGATATTTAATTATTTTCTTGGCTAGAAACATTATATAAAACATTACTATTATTTTTTGAATTAATAGGATTTTCTTTAATAAAAGGAAAAATTCTATAATGCCAAGTCATCTTTATCAATTACCAACACGATCGCGTCAACTACAACACCAAAAGAATCACCAAATAAAACAATTACAAAAACAATCAATAATATCAATTCACTATAAATTTATTTTATTATCTTCTGCCTTCCTATTATTGTTGTTATTATTATTATTACTATTAATCCTATCCAAAATATCAATTTTTAATTATTCATCATCTTTACCATCATTAAACTTTTCTGCATCCATAAATCATCAACAAAGCAATAATCACGATACATTATTAATTGATGACAATTCACAAATCCCTAAAAATAAAGATTTCATCGCCCCACTTTATGATATGCATGATCCTTTATTTGATATAAGATTTAAAAATGGTTTATTAAGCTTCTCTGAACCTTCGTCATTATCGCATTCAACATCGCTATTGAAAAAACGTGCTCAGCCACCACCACCAAAAAAATCTTCAAAAATTAAACCACCAGGAATTTCAATTGATAATCAAGAAGCTACTTCAGAAACATTGGAACATGAATTACACAAGCACTATGAAGAAGAATCAGAGGATTGGTGGGAAGTTTATCGTTCCTATGAGTATGAAACTGCAGATTCATTAGGTAACATGTTTTTAGTAGAAGTGGAAGAAGCTCAAGTAATTCATAAACAACATGCTTTAATGGATGATTTACAACATGCTGATGTGTCAACTAAAGATTATGCATCACAAGAAACATTGAATACTGGTGGCATGGTTCCTAAAAGTTCCAAAGATAATGACAATAATAAAGCAGGTAGCAGTTTTGCTAGTGGTGGCGGTGGAATACAACAAGTTCAAGATAATGTTAATAATACTTCAATAGCTGTGGCTGAACAACAACAATATCAACAACAGGATCTAATTGATGTCAAACAATATCAACATATACATGTTGCTCAATCCTCAGCTGAAGGGTTATTGACTAATGAATATGAGGAAGCACGATTTGTTCAATACGAATATACGTTGGAAATTGATTTATTTAATCAATGGGAATACCAAAGTGAACAGGGAACAAGTAAAAATGATAATTTGGAATTGATTAATTAATAGTAAATTTTAGTCGGGATTTCTTTTATTTTTAATTGTTTCAAGTTTTATAAAATATAATATTATGATAATAAAATTTCATGTACACAATCTTCGGGACTAAGCTATAAACCAATATGAATTTTCATACACTTGTTTTATACATGCTTTTGTGTAATTAATACATTTTGAGCAGGTTGGCAACTAGAACAATGGACACTGTATATGACTGATAAAAATGCAATTAATATTAATTATAATTGGTGATTGTTTGAGTTATTTGAATGAACTTTACATTCAAGTTTTCATTTGATTAGCATCAAAAACAAGGTATTGTAAATAATCTCACCTTACATTCAAATATTACGAAAACATAACCCATTCGCACATTTTCACATAAAAAAATTCAAATTACAAAATCCTTCTTTAAACACAAATAATCAAAAATGCTTACTTTCAACCATTAATTTTTTTGCATATTGTTAATTGAGTTCTTGGTTTTTTGTTATACTGTAAAACTTATATGGTTGGCTCGGTCCCATTGCTGCGCCACGCGCTCAAATTTCGAAAATTGCGATTTCGTGATTCGTTCAAAAATGCAATAAAAAGGGTTTCACGTGATTTTGGTTAAAAAATTATTTTTTACTGCCAAATTTAGATATGATGGTCGAACGTTAGTCTAAATTCAGTAATGATCAAAAACTAGTTTAAATTTAGAAATGATCATAGCGCTCAAATTTCTCATGAGCATAGTAAAGTACATATTTTAAAAAAGAACTCTACAACAGAATTTTTGAGGAAATCTCTTTATTACATTAAAACTAAATGCATATTCTATCAACTAATAGAACTATTTTTTTAAAAAATAGGACAGAAAATGACTTCTATACTTTTAAAATTTAGGAGGTCTTTAGACCGAGCCGACTATAAAAGATAAAAAATATCCCCTGAAATTGAAAACCTAAGTGAAAATTTTTAACAATCTATTAACTGGGTTCAGATCTTTCTTTTAACAAAATGACTCTTGAAGTTTGTGAATTTCTTGGGGAAAAGAGAGTTGTTGCAGCCTCCACCATCAAAAATTCTATCAACGAAAAAAAATTTTGATCCTAGAAGAAAATCATTAGAAGTAATCCGTATGAAAAACTTTACCTGAATCTAACACCTGCATCAGCATCATTCTCTGAAGAGCGCAAGTAGAACGATTCGCGACATTGATATCGTTCCTGAAAGTGATATTATTCTCGACATCTATTGAAAAATAAACAAGATTCACTCCTTGACTGTTAGCCGGATACTCTCATGCAAAAAAATACATGATTTATAAGTGGAATTGCAGGCGTCAGATTTAATTAAAATTTTCTATTACAAACACGCCGATGCCATATTTTACCTGTGGATCTTTTTCCACGGGTTGAGCCACATGCATGCTGTGAAGGCTTTGGCAAAACTTTCCCTTATCTTCCTCTCAGACCAGACTTGACTGTTACCATATGGTCATTGATAACTGATGAATATCAGCATTTTTGTGATGATCTGAGCGCTGTGAAGATTAGTGAAAAGATCCTTGACGATTGATGCAGCAGTCTCAGTAAACTCCAGAACCCCGTCGTAAACCCCCTGGAATTCTGTTGCATCATTGTATCATTGGCACCACCGTTGTCCGATTAGCCTTTTGTACTCTAGAAATGTGTGAGAACGACTGTAGAGTGCTCAAGGTAGCGTGCGTGCTTCAACGTCTGTAAATTTTCGATAATCAAACATCGCATATCGAAATGTTTCAAATGTTTCAGTCATGCTACCTGACAACTTGTAATTAATTATAATAATAATAATATTATTATTATTGATTATGAAAAGCAAAATATCAATCTAGATTTGCTCCGCGCTTCGATTCCAATTAAAATATTTATAAACTAAAAGACATATCAATGCAAATAAAAAAATAGTATCTCCATACCAAACAACACTCGCGTTTTGCCATCTTGGACTCAAATAAATTGTTTTTCCAAGAAAAAAAAAACAATTCGCGTCAACAATAGGAGTTCCATATATAAATAATTAATTCGCAAATCATTCTTACTGATGGTTCCTTTAAACCATAAGGAAAACAGGCTTATTGAAATAAATTAGGTGAATTTCCATTGGACTATTACAAGTTAAATGAGTCATTAACCTTAACTTTTTTTATAATCTTCATTATTAAAAACATCGTTGTCATTTTTTTCAAATAATTCTGATTTGTTTTCAATTAATTCATCATACAGTATCATTTCCATATTAGAATTAGATGCTATTGCTAAGTGGTGAAACTTCATTGATATTATTTGCATTATTTGCAATTGCATTTCCAGAATCAAATTGTTCTTCTGAATCAACCAAATCCTCAAAAGAATCTTCATATGAATAATATATACTATCCAAAAACTAGTTAAAAAATTTTTTCATCTAATGTTAATTTATACCTTGAATATAATATGATTACATTCACAGCATTGAGTGAATCTGGTATTTTATATCACCCTTCAAAAGTTTTTACAGTACATATGTCAATATACCAAATTGATTTTGTTAAGTCAAGTACAAACTGATAACTGATATCATGAGCAGCTGTTTTCTCAACTTTTTCTCATTATTTTCAACAAATTCTAATTCTAAATTATTCAAATCCATTCCTTGCCGCTAATTAAGCATAGATACAAAAAATTATTAATAAATACAAGTTAATAATTTGTGCTTAAATCATCATACCTTTTAGAAAGATTTCATTCAAAGCCTTTCCATGATTAATAGAATTCTTACATACAACTCAACTTCAACATGGAAACCATTTACCAAAGAATTGAGAAATATATAAATTTAATCATTTAAACAAAAAAAGAAAGGAGAATCAATCAATAACAATCACATCTTTTTTCATTTAGACAATGTATAATGATCAATTTAAAAATTTATCAAATATAATGTTTCCTTGCTTTTTGATCTTATAAGTATAATGAGATATTGTAATAAATTTTTCATAAGTGAATGTGATTCATGAAATTTCACAATTTATTATCTATAGTGTATATATGGTTGCTTGTCAAAACTCCTCTGGAAATCAATTTGCAGAGCTACACACTAATTGTTTGTTAGAGTTTTGGCAGAGTTTCGCATTTAGGGGTTTTGGCAATTGGCAGAGTTTCAGTAGGTTACTCACTAATTGTTTATTAGAATTTCAGCAGAGTTTTGGCAGTCATTAAGAGGTTTCGGCAAGCAACCTTAAGTGAATCACACTTATTATTATTAGAATATATAAATAAATGCATTAAATATTAAATACCTACATAAATAATAAATTTTTAAATTTAAAATAATAATAATTAGAAAATAGTCATAAGTGCAAAACAAACATATAATAATCCAATTGGATAAGCAATTAGCAGTCGTTGGTCTGTCATTTGTAGAACAATTACAAATATTGTAGAAGATGAATATGTGCACCAACTTATTGCAAGCGTTGAAGCCATAATTCCAATAGGCCCACTGTAAAATTATAATCAGTAAGAAACATTAATATAATTATTTAATAACAATAATAATAATAATAGTAGTAGTAGTAGTTACCATAGAGGTATACCAATGCCAATACAACTTAATAATGTTAAAGGCAATAGACAATAACCTAATACACTTGCTGTACGATATATATCTATTCCTAAATCACTCATAAGATTCAATATTAAATAAATAGATAACCATCCAAGAAGTGCCACACCATAAATGTATCCAAAGTGTGCTTTCCCTGTCTTAATTTATTGATTTAATTTTTTGTTAGCAAGACAATCTTTCAAAGAAACAAAAGACCCTTTGTAAATAACAAACAAAAAAATTTCCTTTACCAGTAATAAAGAAACACCAAATATTAAACAATATATAAGTGGCCCTGCTAAATCAGTATCATCCATTATGTGCTTATCGATTGTTTTAAGTGGATTCAACACTGTCAAACTCTAAACAATAATCAAAAAAAACTTTAGTTTATTTAAAGGATTTAAATAATAACATTGTTCCCAGTTAAATTATTACTTTGGTTTTTATATGTTCAAAATTAATTCCAAGTTCTAAATTTTAAAAAACAAAATATTAAAGATCAATCAAAAGTTAACTTCAGCACTAATATTATTTTTATTTTATAAAACACACATGTACATACCTTCTAATAAGGGCGGTTCGTCAGCAAATCCACCCGTGCCAAATGCGCTCCAAAAATTTCCACTAGTATGAAATTCATTGTGATGCATATAGGCTTGAGTAGTTGGTTGTCCAAAATACCCTGTATTTACTTGTGCTGAATAAGTATTGGGATCTCCATAGTTGGTTGTGTAAAACTGTAAATCTTCTGGTGTATTATAGTTGTACATATCTGATTTTTCGAAAAGAACCGAATGAACATTTCCTTGTTCCATAATTTGTAATATTAATATAATCTTGTTTAATTTTGTGTAGGTAAAATTGTCATAAAATTTTTACACGTGGCTTACCAAAAAAAATTATATAAAATGTTGCACAACATTACATCCATATAAAAATCTTTTTTAAAATTTTTTTTTGTATTTTGATCAACTTCAAATTAAAGATTTAAAGTTTTACTAAATCACCTCTATAAATTTTGTAAATTTTCTTTTATAAAAAATAATAAAAATACTCCTAAAACATGGCAACTCAACCACCTTCTCAATTTGCTTGTACATGTGTACTTTTTTTGATTGATATAAAATTCTTAATGTTGAATTTCGAAATTTCAGAATTAAAAAAAAAATTTAACATTTACATATAAATTTGCTTTATACTTAGATCGTACCGTTAGCAACTTGGCACTTTCTGCAGGGAACCCCACTTATCAACCTTTAGAAAGTTTTCAAGAGTAAGTCAATGAAATCCGAAAATATATTTATTAAATTATAAACGCACATTTAATGACATCTTGAGCACAGTTGAACTATTTGGATTTTTTATATATACGTTTATTAATGTTTATATATTTATATATTTATATTTTATTACGTTTATGTAATTAAAGCCCTGGTGGAAGTATTAAAATATTTCAATATAGTAAGGATGGAAGTCATTTTGGTTGGGTATCACCAGAAAGGTAGGTGTTTCAATTATTTCAATTATGATTATCATCAAATATTATATTATATGAATTTCTTTACTAATTAATAAAATCAATGTGTCTTACTATTATTATTATTATTATGAAAGTGTTAAAATCATTGATGCTGAAACTGCAGAATTGATTAACGAAATTCGAAAAAGTAATGTTGTGGAAATCGGCTTTTCTCCAAAGGGAAATTATATTTCAACTTGGGAAAGACCTGGTAATACATCGATTATCATTGTGCATTAGTTTATTTTTTATTAATGAAAACTAGCAAGTAATTACTTATATACATAATATGAAAATCTTAATAATACTTCTTTTTAATTAGTGAAATTACAAGATGGTTCAGTTCACAAAAATTTAATTATATGGGAAGTTGCAACTGGCCAAGAATTAATTTCATTCACACAAAAATCTCAAAACAATTGGTTTGAATTTATATATTATGCTATGGGATAACAATTATACATAAATATATATGTGTGTGTGTATATTAAAAAAATTTAATTATTATTATTAGGAATGTTCAATGGACTGAAGATGAAACATATTTTTGCCGCATGGTTACCAATTTAATTCATTTCTATGATAGTAAAAATATAGAACTAGGTATCCATAACAAATTACCTTTGGATGGAATTAATGATTTTTCTTTATCTCCTGGCAAGAATCCTTCAATAGCTGTGGTTATTCCAGAAAAAAATGTAAGAGATGATTATCATTATCATCATCATTTATTTATTTAATGTTAAAATTATTAAATTTTTATTTTTTTTAAAACAAAAATAATTAAATAATCCAGGCAGCACCAGCAATTGTTCGTATCTACTCTATTACAAATTTTAATTCACCTTCAGCTCAAAAAACATTTTATAAAATGGATAAAGTGGTAATGTTATGGAATGATTTGGGAACAAGTTTATTAGTTTTGACACAAACTGAAGTTGACAAGACAAATAAATCTTATTATGGAGGAGGTAATATACATGGATGAAAATGTTGTAGTTTTTATTGTATTTTATATATATAATTAATTAATTAATTAAAATATTTTTATTTTCTTTAGAAACAAATTTATATTTTCTTTCCGTATCTAAAAATAACGAATGTAAAGTTCAACTTGGTAAATAATCTATAATTTTATTTTTTGGGGTTTTGTGGGTAAAAGTTATTTATTATTTACTTATTCATTAAATTTTTTAATAAAGATAAAGAAGGGCCAATTCATGAAGTAACATGGAGTCCAAATTCTAACGAATTTATAGTTATTTATGGATGTAGGATTATTAAATTATCTTTTTATAAAATTTTTTTATATACCAACTATATGTTTAATAATTATTTTAATTTTATAAATAAATTAGATATGCCATTTGCCAAAGCAACATTGTTCAATCAACGTGCGGATCCAGTTCATGATTTTGGTATTGATGCACGAAATACTGCAATATTTAATCCTCAAGGAAGACATATCCTTTTACTTAAAATTTTTTTGGAAGGAGAGAGCTAGAAATTAAATCTACTTTTATTTTTTTTTTTTTTAAAATTAAAGAATTCCTTAACTTTAATATTATATCTCGTATTTTACTGATTTTGATAGCTGGTTTTGGTACATTGAATGGAACAGTGGATATTTGGGATCGTGAATCATTAAAAAAAATAACAACATTTAAAGCAACCAATTCGACAGAATGTAGTTGGTCACCTGATGGTCGATATATTCTGACAGCAACTCTTAGTCCGAGACTTAGAGTTGATAATTGTTATAAAATTTGGCATTATACCGGTGTAATAATAAATTCTAACAATTTTCAAGAATTATTACAGGTATTATTGATTTATTTAAAAAAAAAATTTCTTATAAATAGATTATATCCTTAATTGCTATATAATTAATTATTATTAGGTTCAATGGAGGCCTGCAAATCCTAATTTATATCCTATGCGGTCATTATCTCCACCACCAAAAATCACTCAAAACTCTGATAATATAATATCAAAGCCAACTCGTAAGTTACATAGGCTTTATATTTATTAATTGTATTATTATATAATGCTTAAACATATAATTACACACATATAAATAGCAACAAGAGTCGGGGCATACCGACCTCCTCATGCTCGTGCACGTGGTTCTTCAAACGACATATTTAAGGTATAAGAATCAATAATAACGATAAATTATTCCATTAGTGTTTTACACAAATATATTTAGTCATTGCTTTTTTTTTAAAATTTTTTCTAGGATACAGGTGATTCCAACGATAATAACTCTCCAGTAAGATCAGAATCTACTACTACCACAAAATCTACAGAAAGTTTGTATAATATTTTGAAATATTGTTATCATCATCACCATCACCATCACCATAAATTATTATCATTATCTTCATGATTTTTTATGCGATTTAATGATTTAATAATATTATTATTTTGAAATCTTGCCTTTTATACTTAGCGCCATCAAAAACTGCTTTAATTAATAAAAAGAAACGAGAAGCTGCAAAAAAAAGAAGAGAAGAGGCTGCTGCTGCGGCGGCGGTGGCTGCTGCGGTGGCGGCTGAAAATTTAGAGAACAAAAAGATTGAAATTTCTAATAATAACAATACCAACAACAATATTAGCAATGATAATATCAACAATAACAATGCTAAAAATAATAATATCAAGAAGAATGAAAAAACTAATGGAAATAATAATAATATTACTTCTGATAATAATAATAATAGATCCAATGATAGTTCTAGATCATCATCTCTTAGTAGAAAACAAAGTATTAATAGTATTGGTAGTAATATAAGTACAAGTCCTTTATCAGAAACAGATAAAAAAGTTCGTAATATAAATAAAAAGTTGCGTCAAATAGCTGAGTTAAAAGAAAGAAAAAAAAGAGGCGATAGCTTGGAATTGACGCAAGTAAGTGTATATAATATTAAATTTATCTAGAAATAAAAAATATTATTAATACAAGTAATATTAATATTATTTAATTTATTAATAGATTGAAAAAATAGCATCCGAGTCAACGTTAATACAAGAACTAGAAAAACTAAAATTATGATATAATTTATCACAACAGTTTATAATAAGATTTATATAATGGTTTCTATATATATATTTATATTTAATTTAATGAGAAGAATTTTTGGATTTTGGACGCAATTTTTAAAACAAAAAAAACTTTGTGAATAAAATAATAAAATTGAATATATGTGATAGTGAATTCATAGAAGTTATATTATATCCAATTAATTAATTTGAAATAAAAATTTAAAATAGAATATACGATCTTTCTGATAATCAAGTTAAAAGAACTTTATGGAATGAGTTCAAAATAAAACTAAATTTATTAATTCATTAGCACAACGTTTAATATCATCATCACATCTAAACCATCGACAGCAATGTCATTTATAGAATTGTTTTTTAAATAACACCAACTCGACTCGATTTCTAATTTCTTTTTAAATCAAAAACCTTTTGTTTTTTTTTCCTTCCAAGACAGTTGCGAAACTTGATTGAGATTCTCGCTTTAAAATCGACACCGCTTCCTCGGATACATTTGCACGTATATTTTTTGTTTCCTTATTCACAGCGCATAAAGTACATTTTGCATTTTTTACGTATTTAACATATTTAGTTTATTCCTTAAATCGTTAAATCATGTTACCAACTTTAGACATTTCTCAAAACTTAACAGCAGCAAATTTTTTTACTCTAATTGCCATATAGAATTATCACCTTTAAAATCAATCAACACGTTTGTATAAAAATATCTGGACGGACTATGACAAAGCACATCTTAATAGTATGTAACCATCGGTTGTATAATGGCAATAACACGTAGACATTCAAAAGAGGCCTTTCCCACGGTCACCCATCCAATGCGTAATCAGTTGGCTGTTCGAGGTTGTCAACACCGACAGAGCATATTATATGCATGTGTTCTAGCCCTTGAGCTCGTCCACATCAGAACCTACCTCAAGATTATCAATGCACTTTTTAGCTTTGGCTCGTTGTCTTAGAACCTTGTGGTAATTAGCAACGTAATCAAGAATCTTGCGATAGGATAAATGTTTTCTATCTCTATTAGCCAGGAAGTCATCACTATTCTCTTTATATTTTAGGTACTGATTAATATTTAACTTTCACAAAAAATATTCCTTAAAGAATTGTGGTATATATAAGTGGCTAAATCTTGCGATGATCTCCCTTCGTGTTTTGCGCTTTACTTTAGGTATTTAGCTATGTAAAGTGGGCGTAGTTCTAAGCCAAAAATGGTTCTACATGATATTTAAATAT